CAGCAGTGTACCAGGGGAGTTCTGCTGGCATGCCATTCTGTTGGCATAACTTCCATCTCCTTCAGCGAAGAAGCAGAAGACCACTTTCTCAGCCACTGTAATTCTAGTACTATATAGGATTGCACCCTAAATGCCCAAATCATAAAGGGAATTTGGGACAAGTTGTTACTGAACTAGCTTCCTCCCAGGAGAAATGTATAAAGATGGGCATCAGACTGTTGCTTCTGAATCAGATCCCAGGCATGGCCAACGCCAAGGGAGCAATCATATGGCTAAAATGAAACTGAATGGAGGTTCTCAAGCACCATCTGCAGGCCTGCCAACTTGTTTAACTTGTTTTTAAGCCTTTGATTTGAAATGTTGTGATTTTAAGGTTTTTATTGTTTTTAATTTGTTTTTAGTGCAAGTCACCTTGAGTTACCTTGCAGAAAAAGGGGCCAACAAATACAATAATAAGCTGTTTTGCCAATTAACTCTGCCGGCTTTTAAAGGATCTTTAGTCAATATATTAGGGGGAAGATATTTTTATTTGAACAGGATAGGAAAACCTCCTCCAACAGCAACAACCAAAAGCCCTCAAACAGTAAACCTTCTTACAATGAGAAATAACCCGAAAGGAACTGTTCCCCCCCCCAGACTTTCACCCTCATACAACACCAGCTCCAACCCTGAGAAGCTTCAACAGAATTTGGTCTATCACCCTCTTCCCCCTGACCACATTGCCCTGTACTATTTATACCTGCCTCAACCAGGTGGGGCTGGATAGCTCCACAGCCGCCACCTGTGGCTCCTAATCAGGGCAATGAAGCCCCAGCTGGGCCACCCTTGAAGGCAGCAGTGCTCCTGCAAGGACTCACAGGAAGGGTTGGCTGCATAAGGCCAAGCCTACACCTCCTCGGTTTTCCTTCCACATTTTCTACTACATAGGCATAGTAATAATAATTCTCATTATGCCAAGGACTGCTGCCACAAAACACCTCGCCTTCAGCACTCCTCTCACAATGCACGTTGATTCCACTATTCTTCTGTGACTCAGCAAGGTAAGGCACCAACTCCCTTGCATTCTGTCTCTTTGCTTATTGAATTAGGGTCATTCTTAGTTCAAAAGCACATGGATGTACGAACCATGTGCACCTATATAAGCACCCAGTGCTTTTTTTCTAAAAAAAATGTTTAGAAGTACTGTCATTTTCCTACTCATATTGAAATACTGCCCCTCAATGAGGCCAAACTTAGATTCACAAAATGTTTAGGGGTATGTGTACCCCTGCGTACCCCACCAAAAAAGAGCACTGTAAGTAGCCTCAGGAGAGGATCAAACAACTGGTAGGTTATTTGGCAATGTAAGAACTACCGTAATTTCTAAGTGCTATATTCAGATAACCTGCCAGGTTCTTTATTTGGTGCTTCTTTTCTCTAAAACTAGCCTTGCTAGTGACCTTGTTGAAATTCTGACAGCATAGTGACAACAAGGGCTCAGATGGATGATCATCTGGTCCAGAACTCTTGCTGTTGCATGCAAAGTGCCAGTAGCTTCATCCTGATCAAGGAAAGTGTGGATCGTGGCTATTAATGGTGAAAAGATTTGGGCTGGAGGACCTTAACTATGGAGCTAACGCTGAGAGACAGACAGTGGTACACACTGTATCTTGGAAGCATACTGATGAGAGTATGTTCCATATAGTGTTGTCCCAGTTGTCAGGAATTCAGAGGCAAGGAATACAATGGAGTACGGTAGCTAGAATGTGGTGGGAAGAATGGCCTTCCCCCCAAAACATTGGAAGCTGTGTTGTACAGGATCATGCTTATTGGCCCATTTAGGCAGCAGTTTTCCATGGTCTTAGGCAGAAAGTCTCCTACAGCAGGCTTCCTCGACCTCGGCCCTCCAGATGTTTTTGGCCTACAACTCCCATGATCCCTAGCTAGCAGGACCAGTGGTCAGAGATGCTGGGAATTGTAGTCTCAAAACATCTGGAGGGCCGAGGTTGAGGAAGCCTGTCCTACAGACTCTTGTAGTGAGGGCTGGGGGGGATGTTGTATCCTTCAACAGAAGCACAACCTCAAATGATGACATCTGGAATACACCTAAAGAGTAAACACCGTGTCCTTGTTTTGCAAGCAACCGATTATCTGAACGTAGGAAGTCTGGAGAGCAGCATCCAGGCCCATTCAAATGGATGGGCATTGCACAAGAGCAGGATTGTGGTCTTGTGCAGGCTCTGTTCATTCGAGAGATGTTTTCACAGGAGAAATCCTTGCCAGACTATATTCCTTGATAAGCGGAAGGGAGTGGTGTCACTTGGAATTTTTCTTCTTCTACATCTTGGGTTGATACTGCTCCCTTCTCTGCTGTTTTCCTAAGGACTTTCCCAGACAACCAGTTGCTTGCAAAATAAGAGCATCATCTGTGCTCTTTTATGGTAAGGTATCCAAATGCCTTTCTTCAACTTTGCTTGAGATTATGGAATAGGCCCATTTCGCCAGCACTCAGGACTGTCAATATTTTGTTGCTGGGGAAATGCTGGTTTTTTCCTCCAGATAGAGTGCATTCATTGGGATTGGGATTATTGTGTGCAATGTGGCTGTGTAACTGTTCCCAACACCTTTGGGAGGGTGCCTATGCTGTGAATGATTATGGAGGGCACAACTGCACACAACCCCACCCTGAAATGAATCATTGTGGCCCTTTCTTTTACTTGAATAAAAACAGAGGCATGATCCGACTAGAGCTGAAGTCCGGTTATTTTTGTAGGTGACTTAAGAATAGGGTGAAAGGTGGTGGGTTCCATGGGCATAGCCAGATTTATGGAGGACACTCACCTGTCATCACCCTCTGTCTGGCTCAGCCGGCTTGACAGTTGCATTGCTAGAATGCACCACAACCTCATCCAACTGATCCCAGCGAGCAATTAAATTTCAAATATTCTGATTATTTATACTTTTTATTTATTTACTTGATTTAGGTGGGGCAGCTGCCCCCTGCCCCCCTGGCTACGCCCATGATGGGCTCCTACACCAGGCTCTCCCAACTTGGTGCCCCTGAGATGCCTTGGACTACTCGCATGGTATGTGGTCAGGGATGATAGGAGCTGTAGCCCAAGAGGGGCACCAGGCTGAAGTTGTTGTTGTTGTCTATTGCATTTATATCCCACCTTTTTCCTCAAAGGAGCTCAAGGTGGCATACATGATTCTTCCCCTCCTCATTTAATCCCAGCAAAAACCCTGTTATGTACTGAAGCTCTCACCCTGGGCCAGCAGGGGGGATACTGTAGATAGTTTTCACTCAGGTCCACATATGCAAATAAGGAATTTAAAGTGATGTTCAGTGATTGGATAGTTACAGAAAGTTGTTACTGTTGCGTTGTAGTGGAGCTCTATATAAGCAGGCTGGCTGAACCCTTCAGTTCAGTTCAGTTCAGTTCAGTGTCTGTGAATAAACAAGAGCTGTTTGAAGAATCGCTGTGTCATCTGATATGTTCACCCACAACTTAAACTCTGTGAAGAAGGTGAAGCAGAGGGGCAGTGACTGGCCCAAGGTCACCCAGGGTCGGCCCCACTGGCTCTTGGGAAGGCTGGGACACTGACAAGGAGCTTTTCCTGACCTTGCCTTGAGAATTTGTTGGTGCATTCATTGGCTGACTGATATATTAATATTTTCTAACCCACCTTTTGGCAAAACCAGGTCTTCTGTCTGCTTTTGTGCAGTAAGCCTAGCTGGGAAATGGGGAAGGACGCGTCTCTTTCTTTGCGGCTTCCCCTCCTCTGGCAAGGCCACTGTGGAGAGCCCGCCCCCTTGTCACTTTCAGGCCGCGAGTTCCTGCTAAGGCGCTTCTGCAGACTTCGGATGTGCGGAAGCCCCGAGAAGAGACCCTGTCAATCTCACGCCCTAGCTTTTGACAACAGAAGGAAACTTAGCAATGCTTCCTTTAGGACAGGAGAGGAAAAACGGGGCGCATTTAAGTCCCCTCCCCGCTCTGTTATTTATTTATTAAACGAAGCTTTACGATCGTTTCCTTGGAGCAAACTAGGTACCCCCCTTTCAGGAGGTTTAGTGAGGGACTTGGCGAGGGTCGGGCAAAGGAAATGATGTGGTTCTTGCGCGGGGGGTGGGGAGGTGTTTGTGTCACCATTCGCAAGATCCTAAGGATAAGCCCTCCTTCCTTCCTTCCTGATCTAAGGGAGCGAGAGTATGTGCGCGTGTCAGTCACATTTTTTTTTTAACGAGATCTTCTGGATAAACTGAGAATCTAAGCTCGCCACGGCGCACCACGCCCGTCCCTCTCCGAACCATTGTTGTCATTTAGTGAAGGAAGCCAACAGCTGGAGCAGAGATTTCCTGCCTCCCCTCTACCCCCCCTCCCCAAACGTATCAGGGAGAAAAAGAAGAAAAACGCAGGCGAGGGGCTGGTCCGAAGACCTTGGCAGGGGGATCCCCAGACCCACCCACCCACGCAGGCCTACGAGGGGCAGGCAGCTGTCATCAGGAGGACCCCCCCCCTCGCCCCAAGACTAAAGGGTTTTCTCAGGCTCCTTTTCTCGATGAGGAAGCCTGGCGCTGGACTAAGCAGCTCGCCAGAGCCTTTGAGTTTCTGGAGAAAGCATCAGGGGACGGGGGAAAGGAAAGAGAAAAGGCAGCGCGTGTGTGCGCGCTGGTGTGTCACGTCACGGCCGCCTGGCACCCTCCCTCTCTCCCTCCCTCCCTCCCTCCTTCTCAGACACCGCATAAAGAGCTGGCTGGCGTGTGCCGGAGGGGCACCGAGGGCCCACGTGACCGCCCCTCCCAGTCGGCATCCCCGGGGATCGGCACTTTGTTCAGGATGCTGCCGCTCGCCGCCCCCATTGTGGACTGAAGATCTTGGGCATCGCCGACGCGGAGGGGGCTGGGCGAGAAAGGCCGGCTGGCTGCTGGAGGGGGGGGCACCCTTCGCCGTCCCGACGGGGCGCTCGCTGGACTAAAAGGGGGACTGGGAAGAGAGGGAGGGGGGCGCCGGAGGGGGGGTGCTGGGTGAGGACTGGCGGCGGATCTTCTTCTCCCCAAGGCAAAGGAGGGAGCCGAGGCGATGGGCGAAGCGCAGACCGCCTAGTAGGGTAAGTGGCTGACTTGGACGCGTGCGTCCAGCCCCGCGTGGATGCTTGTTTTGGGTGGGTGTCTGCGTGTGTGGTCCTCCGGGTTGGGGGTGGCCCCGCGAGGGAACCCCTCTGCTGCTGTGTCCCTCGGAGGCCAGCAGGATGCTCTCCAGCCGAGGCATCCAGCCCAGCCCACGGCAGCTCCGCGGAGAGCCTGGCAAGGAGGGGCTGTGCCGGATCCTGGTACATTCTGTTCGGCGGCGCTTGCCAAGCGGACGGAGGTCCAGGCGGGCTGCTTGGCGGGGCTGCTGCATCCCAGCTGCGCCTCCGAGGGCAGCGTGTCTGCTCCGCGAGACGGTGACTCAGCCTAAGGTCAGCGATGGGTGGGAATTGGGCTGGGAGGGCGGCCCCCCTGCTCTGTTCCGTCCAGGCTGGCAGAACTTGAGAGCACGAGCCCGACTAACTTCTGGAAGATTAGGAAACTCGCAAACTCAGGCTGAGCGGTGGCTGGTGCCCGTCGGGGCTGGAGGGAGGGAGACTAACTAACAGCGGAGCTGGAGCCAATGACAGGTCGAGCCAACTAATCCTCGCTTTGTCCTACCCCCTGCTGAGTCCGACAAGGGGACGGAGACCGAGGAGGAGGAGGAGGAAGCAGCTGACAGGCTGGCAACCCCCGGACAGCCTGCAGGTTAGAAGACGGGCAAGCGAGGGGTAACTAATGGAGCAGTACACCAGCCGCCTAGATCAACCGGCATCCACTGCTGAGGATGCAACCCTAAAATATAGGCAGCTGCTGTCATAGCATCATAGAACTGTAGAGCTGGACGAGACCCCAATGGTCCTTTAACCCAACGACCTGCAATGCAGGAATCACAGCGAACCCCGCTGACGTGGGCACAAGCCCCACGGAATTCAGGAGGACTTCCTCCTGAGTAGGCTTCGTTAGGCTGGCCGCCTTATTATGATCAGACGCAGACAAGCTGCCTGTATGGGCTGCCCCCCTACCAAAACTCTGAGTGCTTTCCATCACCTGCGAATCCTCCTTGCCTCCGCCCCTTCTCTCCTGTGTGTATTTGACACTTTCCCCACTCCTGGCTACCCAGTTGTGTCACTCAACAATTTTATTTTGGGCTTGGGCTGCCACACAGGAAAAGCCACGTGGATGTGCAGGAGGGGAGGCTGAGCAGAGAGAAGCCCCCTGGTTCAGCATGGGAGACAGACTTTCTGCTTCTGTCTTTGACGATTCCCCACCCACCTCTCATGCCAAGGGGGTGCTGGGATTTACTAACTTGATTTACTAAATCAAGACAGGATAGGATTTTATCAGTTATAGCTGCTTTTTCGGCAAAGGTAACTTGGGACATCACATCAGAGCAAGTGGCACCAAGATGCTCAAGGTGGAGTACATAATTTTTCCCTTCCCAATTTTATCTTCACAACACCCCTGTGAGGTTGGTTGGGTTGGAAGATGGCAACTGGCCACAGGTCACCCCAATCAGCTTCTTAGCTTATCTGTGGGTTTGAACCCTAGTCTCCTGGTCCAAGTTGGCATCTAGTCACTCCACTCTACTGTCTTTACACTGCACCACATTGGCTCTGCTGCAGTTCTATACATAAAGTTTTTAGATCCAATGTCAGGAAAGTTCAATATGTCTGCAGTGAATGCATGTGTCGGAAAGATGAACTCATAGCCAGGGATCTGAGACTGACTGTACAGATTGTCACATATTGTGAACTGTGCTATTAAGAAAGTTCCTCCTCCCGCAGCACATAGTTAAACTACTGGTTCTTGTAAGAGGCAGTGATGTGCACCAACTTGGTGAAAGGGGATTAGAGAAACATGTGGAGGATATGTGACCACTAGCCACAATGATCTCCGTCTGCTGTTGGAGGCAGGCTCTCACATTATTATGGCATTTAGTCTCCTGCAATGTGAACAGCAGGATCATGTAGTTCTGCCCCACAAGGAGGTTTCAGACTTCGCCCCACCTCACTTTGTGCAGAAATCCCTGCTCTTTTCACAATGCATGCACAACAAAGATCTGTTGCTGTTTATTTGTAACATCCCAAACCCCTCCAGACAATGAGTCTCGTGTGCCAGTGTGGCATCCCCAGTCCTAAACACAGAGTGAGCTCAGCTTACAGCCTCCCTTTTTCATCATCAGCTCTACAGGCCAAGAGGATATGAGCTTAAAGCTGGCTTGGCTGATGCTCTCTCTCTGTGTGTGTATTGTCAGAGGCTCCTGAGCATGACACAGGGGAGAAGTCATTTCTGGTAATAGTCTACCAGGAAATAGGCCAAATGGTCATTGGGCTGGGCTGTGGGCGCTAAAGGGGAGGAAGGAGAGTCTGTGTAATCATCAAACGGTATTCCAATTCCTGAGGAAGCTGATAAATCATAAGGAACAAGCGTGGCTAACAATGAACGCGGCTCATTCTTCCTTTGGAAATCAGGCTCGCTGTGTTTTGTTTCGGTTTTGTTATGGTATGTGTGTGTGCATGCTTTACTGCTAGTTTGCTCTGAGCTGGGTTAAGCGGCTTTAGCAAAAAAATGTGGGTTTTGTTGCTGTTGTTACATACATAACAGATACACACCATGCCTCTGATAACAGGCTGCTGTACAGACACACTAAGCAAGAGGCAGTCTGGTCTTCAGAAAATTCAAGGATCCGCATCTAGGAAGCACAGACAAAGAGAAGTAAAACAGCAGGGAGGAGGGGAGCAATGTGTGTCCAAGGACCACCCAGCAGAGGACCAGGCGCTTTTTGCCTCTTACAGCCAAGCTGGCACGCACCCCTACACACACCCCACCTGGACCAGGAAGACCCGAAGCTTAATCTTCCAAACCTTGATCATTCTTAGCAGTGAGACATTTGAATTCATTGTTATTAAAATGATCTCTCTTGTTTCTCCAAGCCTGCTGTATTAATTATTTGGATTGCTGGTGACATTGTTGCTGTAATTCATCCGGAGCCTGCCGGGATAGGGTTGGCAATATATAAATGATGACACGGCTCTCCTTTTATGAAAAAAGGGCCGCGAGGTTTATTTGCTCACATTTGCCTAGCCGGGTGAAGCCTTGAAAAGCACAGCAGATGCAACACAATAACCCTTGTTTGTTGAGTGGCAGGCTGGAGGTGGCAACAGCTTGGCACAGCTCCCTAAAGGGAGTGCCCCCTTCCTGCTGCCATGGCTCTTCGGCGAATATCACTCCTGTTGTGCTTGGCTTTTAGCTTGTTTCTGAGCAGATCTTCCTGCCACAGTTTCATCCCGGTGGTCACCTGGGCTTCTGTTGGAACATTTGCTTGGGGAGAAAGGAGAATCTTGGGAGGTTAATTTATGGGAAGTTCAGATGCATATTGAATAGGCTGGTTCTATGTCGGTTGCAGCAGGAAGCTGAATTCAGGCTCAGCGTTTTCATTTCTCAGCTGGGCAAACAGAGGCTTGGAATCCTCCCTTTGCCTTCTCCAAGCTGGCCTTTCCACCATGCCGCTGCCAGCAGGAAACCTTGGCAACGCTGCTCTTTGGGTGCACCTGTTCTATTGATGGGAATGTTGAGAATGGCCGTCTCAGGTTAGAACCAGAATGAGGAAGACCAAACCAGTGATGCTCACAGACATCAAGAGATCAAGGGGGTTAAGTCACATGGCCAAATTGGCATGTGAAATGTTGAGTGAGTAGGCTGGAATTGGAGCTGGCCATTGTGCCAGAGCAGCTTTGTTGTATCTCCAGTTCCCAGCTTGGCTTGCACTGCACGGGGTCAGGGCTGCCATGCCTCTCCTGTAACCTTTGAGGTGGGGCAGAGTGAGCTGAGCCTCTGGGGGAAATGCAGTGCTCTTCCACTTAATTCACATCCGAGGTTTTTGGCTTGGTCGTGAATTTGTGCAATAGGAAAAGGTCTAAATGGTGCAAACAAACGTTTCGAGAAAGGATCTCTAGATGTTTTGAACCTGAGTGATAGAGCTCCTAATTCTCAGGCAGAAGGTCGCGGGTTCAATCACCGGATCTTCAGGCTGGGCCAGGAATGTCCCCTGTCCCTGGAATGTCCCTGGAAAACCAGTGTCAGTCAGAGATGACAAAAATGGTCAGACTCAGTATAAGGCAAGCAGAAACCCACCCAACTCTGCTGAGATTAAGGCATAGATGATGAAGAATGTTGCAGGAAGCTTTTCCCACTCTGGTGGGGGAGATGTAGCCAGAGCGGGGAAATTGGCTGATTCAGCTCAGAGGAGAGATCAGCATTTGCTGCCCCAAGAGCTGCTTTCTCCGCTATTGATTATCCTGCACTGGAGGCCTCAGAAGGTAAGCAAGCTCATTAGGCCTGCCTAAGCAACACAGAAAGAGGCTGTCTGTTTTAAGTTGGCAAAAACCAGAGGCAGATTCCTGGAAGAGGATCCTGAGAAAGCTAAATGATGTTCCATATTGGACCAGCTCATCAGCCAAGACTTTTCTAGCTCTTATTTTAGCCTGGGGCATTGATTCCCAAATGAGGAGTCTGGCCCCATCAGGCAATCATGGGAGACTGTCAGCAATGAGTGCCTGAAATGATGGAGGATAATAGGCTAAATGAGGAGGGAAGTGATGTATTGGCAAGATGGAAATGTTGAACAGGTGGAGTCCTCAGTACAGTTAAACATTTTAGTAGCAATGGGAAATTTGTTCTATGGAATCTGTAGGGTTGGAGAATCTCTGCTGTTTAGAAGACCTTCAAGCTGGTGTTGACTTGCTTTCTACTGCCCACTTCCAAGACCAGACCCAGGGGGAGGGAATGGCAGTCCGATCGTATGTCACCAAGTTAGCTGCTACAGTGTAGGCAGAAGTTGGTTCTGCTGTCTGAAGCTAATATAAAGACATAAAACAGGTATAAACAGAGAACTCCTGGATGCCAACATCCAGGTTTGGGGCAAGTACTCTCTGGTGAGAGAACACCAGCAGAGATTTAAAATCACAAAACATGCAGCAAAGTAAAGTGTGGAAATATAGGCTGTTAGACCTTTAAAATATGCTCTTGTAAGTTCCTT